CTCTGCCTCCTGAGTACTGGGATTAAAGTTGTGTGTCTCCAACACCCGGCCTTATTTGGTGGTTCTACAGCTAGCATTATAATGCTAATATAAAGTATCTGGAAATGCTGCTAGCTTGTGTGGAGCAGGGAGGGGTTGATAATCCCTAGGATGTCTGCTGAGAGGAAACAGGTATGGGCTGGGAGCTCTGAGCAGTGAAATATCACCCTAGGATAGTCCGTAGTAACTCACAGAATGGAGGAGCTAGATATCTGCTTCAGACTTTGAGGGTTGGGATTACATGCATGGGCCATCTCAAAACAAAAGCAAAAACCAAAACCTATTCTTTTCAGACCTCCAGAACCAGGGTGGAACCAGCCACAGGGGTCTCAGGCCCTCAAAGGAGGCCTATATAATGCAAGCTAAGGATGGTGATAAGACCCTGGGCTTGGGATAACAAAGAATTTGTCTAGAAAGAATTTGTCTGAAATAACAAAGAATTTGTTTAGAAAGAATGTGTCTAGAAAGAATTTGTCTAGAAAGAATTTGTCTGAAATAACAAAAAGAATCACAGTTGGTTTTCAAACAGTGGGAAATGGGCAGGGGTAGAGCTCTCAGCTGGCGGAGTTCTGAACATGCAGCATCCTGGGTTTGATTCTAGCATTCCTCACGTCATGGTGACCCCCAACCATACAATTATTTTTGTTGCTACTTCATAACTGTAATTTCGCTACTGTTAGGAATCACTATGTGAACATCTGTGTTTTCTGGTTGTCTTGGTGACCCTCGGGGTCAAGAGCCACATGGTGAGAACCGCTGGCATAAAGAGTGAGGGTACATGCCTGCCTGCAAGACTAGCACAAGGGAGGTGGAGGCCGAAGGATGAAAAGTTCAAGGCCAGCCCGGGCTATACAGTGAGTCTGAGGCTAGCCTGGGCTACGGGAGACCTTGTTGTCAAAAGACAGATACAAACCCCAGGAACTGTTCTCTCCCAGTCTGGAAGCCTAAAATCCAGGTGTGGACTAGCTTGCTTCCCTGTGAGGACCCAGGGTCTGAACCTTCACACACCCTTTCCTGAAGCCCCCTGAAGCCTCTAAGGTAGCAGTTCTCAACCTGGGGGTGGCAAATGACCCTTTCACAGCGTTGCCTAAGACTGTCGGAAATATCAGATCTTTACATAAGGATTCATACATAACAGTAGCAAAATTGTGGTTATGAAGTAGCAGCGAAAATAATTGTGTGATTGGAGGTTACCACAACATGAGAAACTATACTAAAGGGTGGCAGTGTTAGGAAGGTTGAGAACCACTGTTCCAAGCATTCCAGGGCCAGTGGGGGCTCAGGGCCATCTGGCTTGCAGATGTGCTTCTCCAGCCTCCCCAGTGGCTGCCTCTCATCTTCCATGAAAGGACTCTCCTCCTTAGGGGCACACTAAGGGGTTTGGGTCAGGGCCAATGTGATTTCTCAACTCATTCGTATCTACGGAGCCCTGTTCCAAAAAGGGAATAGTGACAGGGCCAGGCAGGAGGTGGACATATCCATGGGAGCCTGGGGGTCGTAGTTCTGTGGAGGAATTCAAGAAACAGCAAAACCAGAAAAGTCTGTGTGGTGCCGGGAGAGACTGTGGCTGAGAGCTATGGTAGAACTCTGGTCTGGCTGCCATTATCACTCCCACATCTCAGAGCCAGGGAGGAGCAGGTGCCAGCTTTGGAAATAGCTTTCTGAGATTGCTCTCTCCCACCTAGATACTTTTCTGGCTCCATGAAGGGCGGTTGGGGAGGGGGAGGAGGCAGGGGGAGCAGGGCTTGCTCCTACTTGCTCCAAGCCAAGCCTCTGACAGCGCTAACTCCCCTCAGGGCCTGTGAAACCCAGGTTCCAATTCAAGATCCTGGGGCCTGGGAACACCTGCAGTGGTTCCAAGTTGTAGTTACTTTGAGGAAAAGATGTGCAGGAGCCAGACAGGAGTCAGACACCCTGAGCATAGTGTGTGTGTGTGTGTGTGTGTGTGTGTGTGTGTGTGTGTGTGTGTGTCTGTGTCTGTGTCTGTGTCTGTGTCTGTGTCTGTGTCTGTGTGTCTGTGTGTCTGTGTGTGTCTGTGTCTGTGTGTGGCCTGTGTGGGAGGACCACCCTCCAGTCCCAAGCTCAGCCTTCAACTCCTGGGGGCTAGTGACTCACAGGTGTAGCGCTGGCCAAGTGACACCATGGCCTAGCTCAGGAGGGAATCAGAGCCGCTTAAGGGCCTCTTAGAATGACTCGTGGCCTTTGTGTCAGACCCCAGACCTTGAGGTTTTCAGAGGGCTGGCAAAACAAGGGGGGGTTGGGGGCAGGGATTGTGTCAGCTCTGCTCCGTCTTGTCTTTCAGATGGCGATTCAGATACCAGGGCATCACAAAGCCTCTCTGGCTCCAGGTGCCAGCAGATCCTCCCTCCCTCGGCTCTCTTTTCTCTCCTCCCTCCCTCCTGTTGAGATCTGTGAAAAAGCAAGTCACTCAGGTTGTGTTGAAATGAAATAGAAGGCACAATGGCCATAACTGTGGTTTCAGACAGGCTGGAGCTGAAGCTTGGAGATGTTGCCATGGAAACGCGGAGGTCTTCACACGAGGGGCATTTGAAGCCGGGCAGAGTGGGTCCAGAGTGCCAGGATAGCTGTGTGTGGGGCTGGGAGAAGAGTTGGGGTGCTGGGACAGGATGTAACTGAATCTTCTCTTTGCAAAAGGCCACAAAGGGAGCAGACTTGCTTCCCCTGGGAGCGTTTACTCAGATATCATTATAAGATCTTGGCGTGACAGTCACACGTTTATCTGCATAGGCTGGGATCAGGGAGACAGACACACAGCTGATGCATGCATCCCCAGGTCCCCTAGCCTGCTGGAAACAACACGGCTCAGCCATGGACCTTGTGTGTGAGCATTCAGGGATCCACTTGGCATGACCTCATCCTGCCCACAAGAGACACCATTGCATCCAAGCTGGGGAGAGTGTGGGTGTCCTGCAAGAGATGGGTTTTGAACCTGCTTCCGCCCAGGGCCAGGTGCCCAGGAACAGTCCTTGCCTCAGGAGGGAAACTGAACTCTGCTATTTCGCTACTTCACAGAAGAAGGGCGGGTCCTGATCCCAGGACACTCTAACTATGCCCTGTGGTCACAGCACACTCCTGTGGCCTAGCTGTTCCATGTGCGGTGCCCACTCCAATGTGAGGCAGGAGGCCTGACCTTCACAGGCTCTAGGGTACCGGGGAAGAGGCAGCCAGGACAAGAATTCTGGTTTTCTGGGTTGGGAAGAGAATATTGCTGTAGCAAGAATAGGGGTAGCCTTTAATCCCAGCACTCGGGAGGTAGAGGCAGGTGGATCTCTGTGAATTTGAGACCAGTCTGGTCTACAGAATGAGTTCCAGGACAGCCAGAGTATGCAGAGAAATCATGTTTCAAAAAAGGAGTGAGGGTGTCTGGAGAGATGGCTCAGTGGTTAAGAACACTGGCTGCTCTTCAAGAGGACCTGGGTTCAATTCCCAGCACCCACATGGCAGCTCACAACTGTTTGTAACTCCAGTTCCAGAGGATCTGACACTTTCACACCAATTCACATAAAATAAAGCTAAATACATTTCCAAAAAGAAAGAAACAAAAGAAAAGACGCTGGAAAGATGGCTGAGTGGTTAAGAGCACTGGTTGTTCTTCCAAAGGGCCCGGGTTCTATTCTCAGAACCATCTATAATGGGATCTGATGTCCTCTTCTGCCATGAAGATGTGCAGGGAGACAGAGCACTCATATACATACATAAATCAATCTTTAAAAATAGCTGGAGACTGGGGTGGGTGGCTCAGTGGGTAAAGCCCTTGTCCTGCAAGCCTGGGGTTTCCAATCTCCAGGACACACATAAGAGCCAGACGCTTGCATGTCTTTAATCCCAGCACACCTGGATGGAGATGGGAGACTTGTGGGACAGCTGGTATATGAAGCAGGGAACAAAAGGCCCTGTTCACACAGGGTGGGAGGCGAGGACTGTCACCCATGGCTGTCCCTCCACATGTGTGCCAAATACACCCATGGCTGTCCCTCCACATGTGTGCCAAATACACCCATGGCTGTCCCTCCACATGTGTGCCAAATACACCCATGGCTGTCCCTCCACATGTGTGCCAAATACACCCATGGCTGTCCCTCCACATGTGTGCCAAATACACCCATGGCTGTCCCTCCACATGTGTGCCAAATACACCCATGGCTGTCCCTCCACATGTGTGCCAAATACACCCATGGCTGTCCCTCCACATGTGTGCACAAATACACAAAAAACCAGCAGGTCAGGCCTATGCTCCCTCTTCAGTCAACTTGTTAATTTAGGCAAACAGGGTCTTATGTGTGGTGGTGGCTTGTATAGGAATGGCCCGCATAGGCTCATGTGTTTGAACGCTTGGCCCATAGGGAGGGGCACAATTAGGAGTAGGTGTGGCCTTGTTGGAGGCAGTTTGTCACTCTGGAGGCAGGTTTTTTTTAAAGATTTATTTATTATATATACATAGTTCTGCCTGCATATCAGAAGAGGACACCAGATCTCATTATAGACGGTTGTGAGCCACCATGTGGGTGCTGGGAATTGAACTCGGGACCTCTGGAAGAGCAGTCAGTGCTCTTAACCTCTGAGCCATCTCTCCAGCCCCAGGAGGCAGGTTTTGAGGTCTTATATATGCTCAAGCCAGGCCTAGAGTAGCAGTCTCCTTCTGTTGCCTGCAAATCAAGATGAAGAACTCGCAGCTCCTTCTCCAGCACCACGACAGCCTGCATGTCACCATGCTTCTTGCCATGACAATAATGGACTAAACTTCTGAAACAGTAAGCCAACCCCAATTAAATTTTTTCCTTTATAAGAGCTGCCCAGGTCATTCACGGCTCATAGCAATAGAAACCCTAACTAAGACAATGTGTAACCCAGACTAGCCTCCAGTTTTGATCACTCATCCCTCTGCCTCCTGAATGCTGGAATTAGAGGCATATGTTATCATACCTACAGTCTGGACTAGCCTCCGACTCTCAGTCTCCCTGCCTCAGCTCTTGGCCCCTGATTACAAATACAGGAGTTTGTTGAAATTCTCATTCATCTCTCTCTCTCAGAGCTGGTCCTCTCTGTCTTCAGGTGTGCTGCATAGTTTTTTTTAAGATTTATTTATTTATCACATATACACCAGATTGAATTGTAGATGGTTGTGAGCTACCATGTGGTTGCTGGGAATTGAACTCAAGATCTCTGGAAGAGCAGTCAGTGCTGTTAACCTCTGAGCCATCCCTCCAGCCCCCGTGCTGCATAGTTTTATGTCAGCTTGGCACAAGTTAAATTCTCCTGCGAAGAGGGAGCCTCAGTTGAGAAAATCCCTGGGTTAGCTCCCACTGTGGGCAAACCTGCAGGGCATTTTCTTAATTAGTAATTGATGAGGGAGGGCCCAGCCCATTGTGGGTGGAGCCATCCCAGGGCTGGTGGTCCCCAGTTCCATAAGAAAGCAGGCTGAGGCCAGGCATTGGTGGCGCACACCTTTAATCCCAGCACTCGGAGGCAGAGGCAGGCGGATCTCTGTGAGTTCCAGGCCAGCCTGGACTACAAAGAGAGTTCCAGGATAGGTTCCAAAGCTACACAGAGAAACTGTGTCTCGAATCCCTGCCTCCAAAACAAAACAAGAATTTTAAAGACAGAGCATCATGTAGTCCACGCTGGCCTTGAAACTTGCAAGTTAGCTGAGGATGGCCTTCTGCCTCCAGTGCCCATGTTACTGAATTACCGAGCTTCAACCACCCTGCTAGACTAGTAGGCTCTTTTTTACTAGTGAGGAACCATCTCCAGAATTCCTTCAGCATTTTATTGGCCAGAACTTTGTCTCGTGTCCTCTCCACAGCCAATCACAGTGAGAGGCATGGCGTGACCCAAGTTGGCTTAGACAATGAGGATTTTTTTTCCTGTTGAGGCCCTAGGTTCCCCTTTTTTGAACACGTGTGGCTACAGGGAGAAGTAAAGCCTCAGCCTGCAAAATAGCAGAAGGAACAGAGGCTGCAGAGTGCGCTTGTAATCTCAGCATTCTGGAAGCTGAGGCAGAAGGATTGCTGTGAATTCAAAACTAGCCTGGTCTACAGAGCAAGGCCCTCTCTTTTTTAAATAATGTATTTATTTTTATTTTATATGCATTGGTGCTTTGCTGCATGTATGTTTGTATAAAGATGTCAGATCTTGGAATTACAGGCAGTTGTGAACTGCCATGTGGGTTCTGGGAATGGAACCTGGGTTCTCTGGAAGAACCATCAATGCTCTTAACTGCTGAGTCATCTCTCCAGCCCAAGGCCCTGTCTTCAAATACAAAATACAGGAGAAAAAAGATAAAGAAGACCAAAGATGCATTTCCAAGGCACTGCGCTTGCATTCTGTGCACGAGGCCCTTCCAGGACAAAAAGGAGACAGTAGGAGATCATTAGGGAAAGCTTTGGTACCTGCTTGTTGTCATACTCCCAAAGATTCCTGGGCATTTATCCCCCCAACCCCCAGTGGTGTGTAGTACTGAGCCCTCCATTGCGTCTCAGCGGTGGCTGTCCCAGTGGTGAGCCCTGCCATCTCATCACGGCTCTGCTGTCTCCTGTGACCGGAGGTGCTATGACTGGAAACTTTGACATGGCCTGAGGAGTCCTAGGTGCTCCCCACCTGTGGCACTTCCTGCACAGAGAGCTGCACAGGTTGGGAGCCACACCGAAGCCAGGGAGTGACTGATGTCAGTGGAATGTGACGGAGGACCCAGGGACATGAGGGTTCAGTGAGTCATCATCACGTCTCGATCACTTGGGACAGTGTTCGGCTTGTTAAAGGCAAGTGACAGAAGTCAGCCACAGTATGCATGCCTTTAATCCCAGCACTCAGGAGGCAGAGATACAGGTCTCTGTGAGTTCGAGGCCAGTCTGGTCTACAGAGCGAGTTTCAGGACAGCCAGGGCTACACAGAGGGACCCTCCCCCCAAAAAAGTGACTGTCTTCGTTTCTTGTTGCTATGATACAGCACTCCATCAGATGCACTTTAAGGGAAAGAGAATTTGCTTCCTCTCAGACTGAGGGTGCGCCTGTCATGTGGAGAAAGTCCTGACAACAGGGTTATGAGGTAGGTAGCCATGTTAGACCAGGAGTCAGGAAGCAGAGAGCAGTGGTTGCTGGCCCTCAGCTCCCTCCCTTTCTCTCGCAGTCACCCAAGCCCACGAAGTGCTCTCAGTTAGGGCAGGATTTTCCACCTCAATTAGCCTAATCAAGATCATCTCAGGCACACCTAGCCAGAGGCTAACCTACTCTAGATAACCCTTCCCAGGAATGCCTGGGTTCAATCTCCCAGTCCAGGTGTCTGGGACCCAGACAGGTTCCCCAAATGACCAGGTGTGTTTTGTACTGGGGCAGGCAGTTGGAGTCCCTTCTTACCTCCACATGCTGCACCCCCCCTTCCGGTAGCTTTCAGTGTTGGTCTAAAGTAGCTTCTGAGTGCTTCCTGGGGGCCCGAGAGCCTCAC